AAAAAAAATAATAAAATTGATTGCAGTATTGCACTAAAAAATACCAAAAATTGCACTTTTGGAGCTTATAAGTTCTTATACCTCCAAAAACCGTTCTACATCGGTTGATGTAAGCGGAGCGTATTTAAAATAAGCTAAATCGCTTACTGTTAAGTCTTCGAGTAAACCATYAAACGATTTTCCTTGTCTGGTGAGTATATCATTGATTTTAATAGGTAATGGTTTCAAATCCGGTATTCTTTTCAAAAACTTTCTTAAATTTTTCATGGATTGAAATCCCGATTTCAMAAACTACATTTTTCGGAATGTACATATTAAAAATTAAATACATTCGGAATGTCTCTCTTCATATATGTTTCCAAAAATAAACGAAAATCTGGGTTATTGATTTTATGTAATGGAATATTGGCGGATAACATTGCCTTACTTTCACAAATCTTTATTGAATGATGATTTTGAGGAAAATGACGTTACCTGAAGTTGCGATGTAGAAGTTTATGTGGTATTTTTTCAATTAACTGTCCGTTTATGCTTTGCAGTTTCAATATGATGTGTAACTGTATATCTCCGTCCAGCACTTACTTTTGTTTCACACAATTATCAAAAAAGTACGGATTCATCAGACGAAAACACATCTTCTCCAAATTCTAACACGTAATTTTTAATAACGGTAGAAATAGTAGGTTTAATTTTCGGCATATTTAACACTGTAACAACAGAATCTTTCAAAATTCGCGGAGTGACTGGAGAACAGATTATACAGTCAATCAGTCACATTTCACCTATCGACTTGATTTTATCTTTATTTCGATAAGACACCACTATTACTGTATTGCGTATACTATACTACTAATTGGATTTTATGGCTGAAGAAGTGAAGATACTATAGTAAATCTTATCCATAAGACCGTTAAGTGTAAAATAGTGATAAAATGGTTTTATAAATTCGACAAAATTGAGAAAATCCCCAAAATTGCAAAAACTTGCACTTAAAACTTTTAGATTTGAATTCGTACTTACATGAAACGTATTTAAAACTTACTTAACAATTAATTTAATAAGTAGAACAAAAGTTTWAAAAAAAATCGTTCATGTATCATTTAATAGGATTAGAATACATTGGTAAAGTATTAATTTATATAATTTGTTGCTAATGTAGGGTTATCTATAACAAAAATTACAGTAATTGTTTTTATTGATATTCGTTTTGTAATTTCTTCTTAAAAAAGATAAATTAGAATCATAATATTCCGCCAATTTATTAGCGGAGTCATAAATTTGTTTGTCTGTTAAATTAATCAACAAATTCGTTTGAATTACCTATTGAATAACTTCAAATATTTTGAATATGTTATTTAAACTATTAAAACATTCTTTTAATTGTATMATTGCATTATCTTATTACATAAGTAAATTATATTTATTATAAAATTTTCTTCTGCTGAAGTAAAGCAATAATCTTTGAGGATTTTGTCATAAAATTGTTTTACTTTTCGGCTTCTTTTTTCTTGAAATGTTTGTGCACTCCATTTTTTTGCAATTTCTACTGCTGTTTCGAAAAATTCATGTATTCATGAAGATTTATCAACATAGAACTAAGCAAAAAAATTGTTGTGCTCAGTTCTTGTTTAGGACTTTAGGAGACAGAAGAACTTTTAATACAAAATTTAGTTTCCAGAATTTTCACAAAATTACACTGAATATAAATTAAATAATCKTTCATATGTAATTTTAAATAATTTGTTTCAAATATTTCGTCTTTATTTTATTTGAGAACCATTTGAAATTGAAGACATTTTTTTCAATTTTTCATACATATATTTATTTATTTAATTTTTTTGTGGAACCTTAAGCAATATTAGACCATCCAAGCCGAGGGCCCGTGGCATTTGCACACATGTATGACATACCACTGCCTTTAATTGCATCAATTTAAATAATAAGTGTGGTAATAACACTACTACACAAAAATCATTAAATTCGAAATATTTTTAAATTTGGGAATGCATTTTAGTCTTTATTGATATTTGTTGACATTTTTAATATCCCTGATGTTGACATTTCTATAATGAGTACCTAATGCAACATTCAGTAGTTTTTGTTTATTTATTTATAATAATTATTAACATTAAATTATTCATATTATATCATGTATACCTTAAATAAAAATTTGTTTTGCAGACATCTATATTACTTGTATTCATCCTTGCTATATTTTACATGTACATTACATTTATACAAATAAGTATACTTTTGATTGTTACTTAATATATATACATTTCATTTATTTCATTGTTTTTATTAAATTGATATATTATATTTCACTTTTTACTTGTATTTTAATTCACACATATTTGATTAAACTAACAACTTTATGATTGACAATATTAATCTTAAATACAAGTCATTGTATTCAGTATTGTGGTATCATAATCGTTATTGCCGTATCGGTATATGATGGATAACCGTATAAGTGTAAAACTAAAATATATTTCCTGGGTACTGCAACATCTATATAATATTTATCATTAACAACATTGAACCTATTTAGATTATTTGAAATTTGAATATCTATATCATAATATACACCTAGTAGCTACTTTGTTAATAGTTTGAATACCAATTAAAATTAACATTACATTTTTAAAAACAACATTTTTATTTCCTTGTGATGTTGTGCTACATGATCATTATTTACAGAAATTAAGATTATTAATGYTCAAATTAGTTTTTTAAAAACATATACATTTTATAAAGATTCAGTCTTTTGAACATCAGAGAACACAATAATTTTAGTATTCTTAACTTCTTAAGCAGTTGAGCACCGACTTGGAAATATTATAAAAATATGACAACGAACACCTTATATTGCCTGCTTACGTCTCACATAGACATTAGACAACTACCATCACATTTTATTACGATTCCAATCTTTAATTTTCATTACATACCTACGTTAGTACGTTTATTATGTTAATGTCTTATTATCATGATTCATGATTGTGCGTTGGAACTAAAGACTAAACCCCTCTTTAGTAAAGAGAACCAAAATGAAAATAGTAACAAATATGATCAGTATCAAAAGAGACGCAGGYTGCGATAGATAATGTATTAATGTAACATTATTATGACAGATGGTAGGTATCATGGTAATGGCACTTTACATTCTACACTAACTACTTCTATCAAATAATAAATTACAAATTACTAGTAAAACCTTCGGTTAGAAATATAAATTACTACATAGTCGAGTTAAAAATAAAAATAAAACAATACTCTTAAAGTCTTAAGTTTTTGATTAGTTAATGGCTTAAAATATGCTTAATGCCCACTCTTTGCTTTTTGATATTTACATTTGTTGATAGCGAGGTTATCAGTTGTTTAACTGTAGATAACCGTGGTAGCCGATAACCGGYAGGTAACAACAATATGGTGCGGCGCCGCGGCTGCCGCCTGCCAGTGCCACCGCTAATCGTATTTTGTATAGCGAATAAGCGAATTACCGACATACCCACATACCAGTATACCACCAGTGAGCTGCTGCCTGCTGCTAGCGTAGACCCTAGTCTGTGGCGTTGACTTAATTTAAATCATATTATATAATTTAATCAGTTAGAATAGATAAATCATTTTTTTAATTGTGTTAAAAAATGTCAAATTTCAAAATGTGTTAACACAAGASACTATGACATCATTGACATCAGTATTGGGATTTAAGATTTAACCCTGAATAGCAATATTTATTGTTTTCTAGTCTATCACTATCGATTTTTGAAGTACTTACGAATTACGAGTCGACTACGAAGCGCTGACAATTCTCCATCCTCGACCACGAATTAAATAACTAAATTATAGAATACTGGCATTAGATTCAAAGCTTTGTTATTAGAAGATTAAACTTTAAAACCTTCTCGATCACGTACGAAATCTCAATTCGTAGTGTCGACGTGTTTATGACAAAAAGGCAAACACTCCGAATTTATTTGAATAAATTAATGAGGTATGTATTTTGTTGGCATTTAAATTTTTTTTTCAAACATCTCATGACTTACTTCAATGATATTTACTCATTGTCCATAATAATATTTTAATGTCTTTTAGATAAGGTTTTAAATTGTTTCACATCATGTCAGTAGACGAAGTGGAATCTGAAGTCAATTTTATGAAAACTTATAGCATAATGGAATGGGATGAACTAATGTAATCATACATTTCTTAAGACAGTGTTTTTTTTATTTTATTTATATTGAATTTTTCTCCTTGATTTTTACATTTTAGAAAGCTAAATGATGATCGTAAATTGCTTAACCAAAAAATTGCGCTTGGGTTAGCCACCAGAGAGGAATTTTCAAAACAAATAAAAGTTGAATTAAATATGCTGGATACGTGTCAACTTAAAATTGAAGTAGGATTATGACAATTCATGTTATTCAAATTATTATTATTATCACCCATTTTTATTTTATAGCAAGAAATGAAAGAAAACAACACAGAGTATATTAACACTCAAATACTTCCCATTTTATCAAATCGTATCAATGACATGTATAACAATATGTTTCTATTATTTCCCGTTGAAAAAACTTCACTGTCAGAATATATTGAATTCTGCTCAAATAATGTAAGTGAACAAATTACAACATTCACACACTTTCCTAGCTGGTGTGGCAAGTGTAAGTTTGTATTCTGGCTATGTTGTACCACACCTAGTACATTGTCCACAAGCAGAAAAATACAAACTATTTTGTTTTTCTCTGCAAACCAGCTAGGGCAAAGTAGCATAGCCTTAATTTTAAAATACCAAATACTTTTTTTTACATAATTAGATGCTTACATTTTAATGTTTATAATAAATTTTTATATTGTTGCAACTATTATGTTGGAGAGGTTTTAAACATTTACACATTTAAATAACTATTTTAATGTGTATTAGCATATTTTCATTTCATTGTTGAATTAAAATTAATTAGTTAACTACATTTTTTTTTTATTTATCATGAAATATTTATTTAAAATATAACTTTTTATTACAGACATTATTTGTTACTAAATGTAGTAACATGTTAGAAACACTCATGTTGAGATACCATAGTGACCCTGAAGTATATCTAACTGCTGCAACATATGAATTTGATGATCGAAATAATATTGAATCAGCTAGACGATATTTTGCAGAAGGATTAAAATATCACGAAAATTGTAAAAATTTATACGTAGAAGAGTTCTGGGTAGAAGTACAACACTTAGAAAAGACTGCAGGCACCTCACTGCCAATTGCTATTGATAAATATAAAAACCTAATAAAACGTTTTGAAGGTGATATTGAATTTCATTTTATATTATTGGACAGAGCAATAAAATTAAGTACAGTTAGAGAACTGCAATGCAACGTAGTCAGGTATTTATATTTAATACAATTTTTTATACATTTTTCTAATTATTTTATTTTTATCTAGAGATATGGTTAAGAAGTATAGGCATAGTGAGCTAATGTGGCAAAAATTAGCAAAAATTCATTTTGATGGTTTTATCTATCATCAGGAGACTGAGCAATTACACTATGATAAAAATTATATTAATGGTATTAGGTCAGTATCTAAACAATTCAAAAATTACATTTTAACGATACATACATATTTGTTGTATAGAAATTGCATTAAAACCTATGAAGATGGATTAAAAGAAAATTTACCTCTACAAAATAAACATAAGTTATGGAACTTTTATATTGATCATGTCATAGAAATTCGAAAGTCTTATCGCATGAAAAAAGAAACAATTAGAAATTTTATGAATGAAACAATGGAGCGAGCCTTTCAAGAAGCTCATGATAATAGGGCATTATGTAAAGCTGAACAATATATTTATTGGGTAGTTACATTTTTATAAAGTATTATTGTTTTAATTTAAGTAACAATTTGTTTGTTTATTTTTATTTAGGCTGATAACACAATCAAAGACTATGATAAAATAATGAGTAAAGCAGTTGAAGTGATAGAAGATAATGTTGAACTCTGGGTTAATTTAATATCATATTATTTGAACTACGACAGTCTTGAAATGGGTATAGACGTTTTCCAAAATGGTGTTCGGGCTTTAAAAAGCAAATCGATGCCTTTATGGGAAATTCTTATTATATACATGGGGAACACTCATCCAAAATTGGTAAAATAAATATTTCTAGTATTATATTTTGATGAGTTCTCAAATTAAACAAACTTTAGGTTACTTGTTATCTTTTATACTTGATTTTTTTGACTACTGTGATCATAACGATAAAAGATAATATACATTATATTAAATGCTAAATACATTCCAGCCTTAGATTAAATTGTGTCCATATCAGTTCTTTAATTCATTCATTTTTACTAGCTTATTCTGAAGTTTATATTAAGTGATCATAACGATAAAAGATAATATACATTATATTAAATGCTAAATACATTCCAGCCTTAGATTAAATTGTGTCCATATCAGTTCTTTAATTCATTCATTTTTACTAGCTTATTCTTGTTTTATATTTATCATGTTGATTTTAATATCACGAATAATTGCATTTTTTTAATTAACTTTTCTTAATCACTTAATATAAACTTCAGAATATTTWAATATTTTATACCTAACCTGACATATTGTGTGAACCATCAATAATGTTATTTGTTACTATACAAAATAAATTATATTTTTACTATTTACTTATTTTACCTTATAAGTATAGTATTAATGATATTTTTATGCTGTATTTAGCCTATTTAAAAACTAAGTGCAATATTAAGTGTGTTTTTAACAATTTTTTAATTTAATTAGATAATGTCATAACTAGGGGTCGGAAGTTGATGMATTTTGCATTTTTTTTTTGGAACTTTTTAGACGATGCTCTCCTGGCTACAAATCTGTTTTATAAGCATGTGAATCTGAATGACTAATTTTTATTTTGCATTTTTTGGTGTTTATTACTTTTTAAGTCATTTTCCCACATTTTTAGTCATTTTTACTGATTTCACACTAGTTTATTTCTTATTCTTTCTTGTCAACCACTATGCCGATAACTTAAAACTTGGAAATTACCACAGGCTAAGATAAGTACTTATTCAATTTCATATTAACAATTACATTTGTCGTTGTCAACAATTTCATCAATTTTAAATGGTGAAGATGCTTCAAGTGAGTGTTTTCTGGATTATTTCAGTGCTGGTGGTTTGGTACATTTCAGATTTGCCCCAATTACTTCAGTAGAAGTAGAGTGAAGTTTTTTCCAATTATAAATATTTAATAACAGATAATCGTCGTTCATTCACTTTCGATAACATAAAATACGCTCTAATTGTACAATGCAGTGATTTTAATTTTTAAAGAATTTGTAAGCTTTGATAAATTTATAAAAAAAGTTAAGATCGTAATATTTGTTTTTTATTTGATAAAGTATATTAATTTCAATATAGTATCATAATGAATAATAATAATATACTTAAGATTTCTTGTAGTACATTTTTTATTTTTACTTTTTACTCTTCCAATATAGCAGGTATCAGCCTATAGCAGGTCATTCCAATACTTCTTTAAAAGTATTTGATTTCTATATTAAATTATAAATATTAAAATATTATTTTAACCCTGAAAAATAAACTTTTGCTTCATAACAGTATTTATTTTTATTTAGCTTCAACAATTATATCATGAAGGCTCACATTTTCCATTCCCAGAAGTCAACTTTATTATCAGGCCTGAATATTTGGAATGGAACGTAGTTCACTATGGAATACTTTCAACTCGTGAATTGTTCATTAAACTTAGAGACATCAAACCAGAATGTAAACAGTTATATATGTCCATGATTTCATTTGAACACACTCAGAATTCAGGAATTACCAAATTAAAAACTATCAGGAAATTGTATAATGATGTATGTAATCGTTTTGGCGACACAGACATAGGTAAGTATCAATTTTTTGTACATTATTAGTAAAGCTGATTTTAAATTGGTTACTTATACAGAGGTATGGTCCGAGTGCATCCGTTTTGAGTACATGTACGGTTCACGTAAACTAGTAAAAGAAATTTTTAAGGCATCATTGCGGTGCTTGGAACCAGATTTAAGAAGTAGTATGACAGAAGAGTTTGAAAAACTCAAAAAGGAATTCAAGTATGAATTAATTATTTAATAATTACTATGAATCTATGATTCATAAAATGTAACTTTCTGATTTTGATTTGTTTTGTTTCATT